GCATGAGCGCCAGATCCCACGGTAATAAATGTCGGCCTCAAAGTCCGTCAGAGCGCATGCTCGAATGGTGATTTTTTTTAAAAAACCCGCGCAGCGTCTTTAAGCAATAATGACGTCCTCTAGGGCCTTCCGACGCGTGCAGGCCTGGCTTCAGGAGAAGCTTGCGTGGGTGGGCGAAGACGCTCCCGACCTTGCATCCGCTCTGATGGTGCAGCGGCCTTGCAGCGACGTGCTACGCAAGAGGCCTTGCGAAGATGCGCGCACCAGCAGCGTCGCATCGAGCAGCGCGGAGGCGGAGCTCCTTAAGAGTGCGAGAGCGCGGCGCAAATCTCCAGAGACGCTGTTGCTGAGGCGGCTCTTCACGCCCCGGCCACGCGCGCCCAGCGGGCAGAGCTGGCCCTGCGCAGCCTTGAGGCTGATGACAAGTGGTGCGCCCTGACCCGACCTGAAGAAGCGTCATCGAGGAGTGGCGGGCGACGCTGTAGAGACGCTGTGGAGATGTTGTAGAGACGCTGTGGAGACGTTGTAGAGTCAAAAGGGAGGGGGGAGTCTGGGGCCTCTCTGTAGCCTCCGCTGGCGGGACTGCACCTCCAACCCTCGCGGCTTGGGAGCTGCGTTTTCGGGGCACCTTTTCCGGCCACCCCTCCAAGCCAAACCTTGCCCCCGTATCCCCGCTCTTGACGGAGGCAACCCTGTATACCTTTTCGCTCCAGGCTACCTTGTTGACCCGGAAGGAGCCCCTGTTTTCGATCGGCTTAACCCTGACCCTAACCATATCCCCGACCTTGATTTCCGGGCGGGTCACCTTGTGTTTGGCCCTGCGCTCGATGTTGCGCAGAGATCTCGGCCGTTTCGGGGTCGGAGTAGGCGAGGTTCGGCGCCACCTGGTTCAAGATGTCGGGCAGCATGAGGTGCGACCCGTGCAGCCTCAGCTCCGGGCCGCTGTCGGAGGCCGCGCTGTTGTTGGAAATCAGCACCTTGCTCCAGCCCGCCCAGTTCTTCGTCAGCGTGAGATCGTCCGAGAAGTCGGGCGTGTTGGGCGCGAAGAGCTGCGGGGCGGAGACCGTGCCCGAGCTCGTCACGTCGCCGCAGACCACGCTGCCCGTCGACACTCCGCCGCTCGTGGCCGTGAAGGTGCAGCCCAGGCTCTCGCAGTAGGCAGTGGCCCTGATCTGCGTGCTGTACAGGCGCCGACTGCCCAGGGATCGACCCGCCAAAGGCGCCGAAGTGCAGCTTCGCAACTCCGGCCACGCCGTGCTCCAGACCCCGCACGGCCGAGCAAGGTGCCGGTGACCACGTAGGCCGCGCTGACGTACATCACCAAGTTGGAGGCCGTGCCCAGCCGGTACTGGCAGCCAAAGGAGAAGCGTCTCCCTGGCGTCAGGGTGTAGGTGCGCGCGATGTTCCAGGCGAGGCGCTCAGGATGGCGTAGCCTAGCCCTCCAGCTCGAAGCCTCCCGCCATGAAGCTGGCGGAGGCCACGGAGCTCTGGCTGTTGGAGCGCAGTTGCCCAGTGTGGTCAGGGTGGGGTCCAGCAGCACCTTTCCAGGGTGGCCAGTGACGTCGTCGGCCCTGCTTCAGCAGCAGGGCCGGTCGTGTTGCCTGCCTCCAGGGTTGCGTCCAGGATCTGTGGCCAGCGTGGCGTTGTTGGTCGGAGCCGTTCATGGCTGCCGTGGTGCTGTAGTTTGACAGCTTCAGGTCCACGCTGTCGGGAGTGCTCTTCGTGGCCACCACACCCTACCAGCGCGTCGAAGGCCGACGGCCTTGTTTGAGAGACCCGTGGTCAGCAAGCTCTGAAGTGCGGCGATGCTCTGCCCGTCCGTGGTGGCTAGGCTGTTCTAGCCAGAGGCGCGATCGCCGGCGCCCGTGATGGCGGCTGAAGTCAGGTCGTGGGTTGGTGTGTATTTGTCGCAACCTTGGGGGAATTTAGCTTACGGCGCCTTGAATCCTGGCGGTGACATACCGGTGACAAGCGGTGACAAGCAGTGACAAGCTCGGCGGGCTGCTACCCAAAAGTGCCCAGCTCCTTGTCCAAAAGATCCATCGGCTCAGTGGCCAAGCCCGGTCTCTGCGATTTGCAGCGTTCCGGGGCTCAAACCACGGTGGCGGTGGCATACCGGTTCGGGGGGCTGCTTTTTCTACCCAAAAGCGCCCCGGTGACAAGCGGTGACAAGCTGGGCGGGCTGCTTTTTCCACCAAAAGAAGCTCCCTGGCTCAGTGTTAGGCGCACCGTCTCTGCACCGCCCTGGTCTGGGGACGGTGACACCGGGCTACCTTTGCCTATTAATGAACCAATATTGTTTCAAGTTGATTCAACATTGATTCAATATTGCAAAGATTTTGAGCCCTGGAAGTCTCTTAGGACGTTCGGCAGGTTGGCGTGTTAGAGCCGGGACAAGTTCGGCAGGTTGTCGTGGGTGACGAGCTCGGCAGGTTGCCGTGCTTGGGCGAAAAACGGAAAATTTTGCTGAAGAACGAAGTCTTCGGGAAGTCGGGAAGTTGGCCGTTTTGGGCGCTTTTTCGGCCCAAAAGCTAGCGGTGACGTAGCGGTGACAAGCTGATGGAAAACGGAAATCGAGAGGAGCGTACGCGTCTGGACCCTGTTTTCGGCCAAAAACGAGCAAATCGAGAGGCTGAGGCGCCTTACTTGCTGTCTGACAGAAAAGAACGAGCTTTCGGGAATTCGGGAAGTTTGCCGTTTTGCGCACTTTTTCGGCCCAAAAGGGAGCGGTGACATTGAACGGTGACATCGGAAAAACGTTCAGCAGGATGGGAGATTTGGCTGTTTTGGCGGCTTTTTCGGCCCAAAAACGAAAATAATTCCTTACTACTCGGGAGTCCTTGATGGATATGAATTTCCCTGGTCTGAACGTCCAGCCCGAGTGCAAGCTTCATGGTTGTGAAGTTCGGCTCTTTTTTTCATCCCGTGGAGAAAAAAGTCCGGTCGATGAACGCGCGAGCCTGATCTTGCTCTTTAAAAATGCCAAGATTGCTGGAGACTGACTTGAAGGCAGTGGAGGTTGTGTAAGAACCATACAGCACAAGGACCGGGGGAGTGTGGGGGCTCCTGCCCGGAAGGTGCTCTGCCCGGACGGGGTCTGCCCGGGGAGGAGTGCGCCCGGACGGGGGAGTGTGCCAAGCAAGTGTGGAGACCAAGGGAATTCTTCCCAGGAAAAATGTAAGTCCCCCCCACGACCTTGGGTTGCTCTGCCCAACAGTGTACCTGAGTCTGCCGGGGGAGTGTGCCAAGGGCGGGGAGTGTGCCAGGGAGTGTGCGGGGATGCTCTGCCCGGGGGGAGTGTACTGGGAGTGTGGAGACCGAGGTCGGAATTATGCAAAACATGTGCCAAATGCGTGTCCATGTGCTTTTTCAGCCCAAAAAACCCTAATGCGGGCGTAATGCGGGCCTAATGCGGGCCTAATGCGGGGCCACTGCCGGACTCCATCGCCGGGCCGTCGTTGTGCACCAAAACGCTCCTTGGCGCCCAAAGCATAGGGCAGCCTCGCAACCGCACTAAAGAGGGGGCGAGTGTTGGACCGGTTGCTCAGAACGCTACAGTGGGGTGTATGTGCTGAGCAACGCCAAATAAAAAGGAGCAGGGCGATTCGGCCGATCGAGTTGTGCGTTCCTCCCTCCTTTTTATTACTTCCCCTCTTGGCTTGAAGCAGCGAACAGGATTCTATCGCTTGGGGTTTTGTGTTCCCCCGTGTTTGAATCCTGTTCGAATCTTCAGCCGCGTGGCCGCTTTTGCTTCAAGCCTTTTTTGAGGGACCGGTTTAGAGGGTTCGATCCCTCTTCCGCTTTTTTAAAATGCCCACCCACCCACCCTGTCAGTACTCAGGTGGTTCACCTTGGCGAACAAGGCTGGCAGGCAGCCTTGATAGGCCTGGCATTGCAGCCGCATATTGTGCCAGCATGCTTTTCACACGTACGCGGCAGCCAGCTTCCAGCCTGTCCTAGAGAGGACGTGTTCCTCAGCAGTTGGCACGAGAGCACGCGTTGCTTCGTGATCATTCAAACTCAATAGGACTTGCATTGCATCTGCACATTGCTCCAGCATGTGCCCCAGTCCGACAAGTGAGGCTCATTAGGTCCCATTCCATCAGCACACGGTGCCATCTTGCACTTTCTGCTGCGTGTGGTTTTTTGCGCCAGAGCAAATGCGAGGACGCATTCCTCCGGCATGTTTCTCCGGACTCAGTCCGACGCGTGAGGACGCATTCCTCAGTATCTCGCACGGAGCACGCGTTGCTTCGTGTGAGACACAACATTACAGGACCAGCCGTGGGTCTTATCCTTTGAGGACGCAATCCTCATTTTTTCGCACACAAGCTTCAAGTGCCACAAGGGATGCAGGACAGGGGATGGACACGCGTTGTCGTCCCTCCTGCATCCTCGAGCCTGGATTTCTGAGCAACGCCAAATAAAAAGGAGCAGGGCGATTCGGCCGATCGAGTTGTGAGTTCCTCCCCCTTTTTATTACTGGTCCCCTCTTGGCGTGAAGCAGTGAACAGGATTCTAACACTGCAGCATAGAAAACAATTGTGCTCACTGAGTACCCGTGGTATCTCTCAGGGGTGCATTGCCGGTATTCGGGTTCTGTTGCTGAAGCAGCCGCTTGGAGAGAGCCAGGATTTCCGAAGTCCGAACACGCATTATGCCAACAAGGTTGGCTTTTGCCCTGAGCCTGCGCGGACTGCAAAGTTTTACAGCTGTTTTGTGAGATGGGCTTTATGCTTGGTTTTTTGTTGCCTGGCTGACCGTATGCCTATCGTCTCCAAAACGCAGTGGCTGAAGGATTGAGAGCCCTCGCAGAGAAACACAGTGGCAGGTGCCTGGCGCGTTGCACTCTTAGACGGTTTTTGGGTGTTTGTTTTCTTCTGTGTTTTTTTTCAGGGAACCCTCTTTTTGGGTTATTAAGGGGAACCACCAATTTTCGGGGTTCCCCGATTTTATGACACACCCCGTGGCTGCCTTTTCGCAGGCGATGGGGATTCCGC